GGTTATTATATAGTCATAAAAACTTGCAGTGTATTTAGAAGGAATTGCTTTAAAATACAACGTGTTTATTTTTTTAAATCAATTAAAAAGAAATGCATATATTAAAAACATTACCCACTTAATGCATGCTGTTATCATAGTTACGGAGAACATTTTTTGAAGATTTTATTTACTTACTTTTAGAGAGAGGGGAAGGGAGGAAGAAAGAGAGGAAAAGAACAATCAATGTGCAAGAGATACATGGCTCTCTCCTACATGCCCCAACCTGGGGACCTGGCCTGCAGCCCAGGCATGATTCCTGACTGGGAAATGGACTGGCAACCTTTTGGTTTGCAGGTTGGCACTCAATCCACTGAGCCACACCAGCCAGGGTAACTATGGAAAATATTAAAAATTACTTTTTCTTAGGGAAGATTATCATTACCTGGAATCTACCTCTATTTTTCTGCTCAGTATAGACCACAAATATTTATAATAGAAATCTACACTTACCAATTCTTCTGAACTATCTATCTTCAGGAGATAAGAGCCCAGCTGAGAGCATTTTCTTTTACTACTATCCCAGGTAGCCAGTGTTGTGCTAAATAGATAACAGCTATTCTCATGTGCCAGCCAGTTAGGGGGACAAGAGCTGGAAACAACACCTGGGAATAAAAGATAAATATGATGTGGTTTATATCATAACATTTCACTCTTTCAGTGAAAGCACCATCTATCCTGAGCACACGATAAATAGTGAATCGCCATTAAAATATTTCATTTTTAATTCAAATGATAATATGACTTTACAAAAGAGGTCACATTGAAATGACCCTATTCATTTAAAATTAAAAATAAATTAACTATAAAAGCATTTCAAGGACAAAAAAATAAAATAAAAGCCTTTCAGATAGTCAGCCTTCCTTTCCTTCTTGTCTATCAATCCTTCAGTTTAAGCCCAGAGCTCCCCTTCTTCATAACTCTTAAAATAAATCAACTCGAAATCAATTATTGAGGTACATGGTAATTTCATGTTAACTTATTTTACAAGTGTGAGATCCATTTCAGAAGGCAATTTTCCAAATGAGAAAAGTATAAGAACAAATATTCACACTATAGTGTACTTCTGCTTTGTATTATTAGCTACTTGATACAAAGCATGAGGAAGAAGGTGTCCAGAGACAGAAACTTAAAGTCAAAACATTGTCATTGTTAATTATTATGAAATTAGAAGATCAAGTGTGTATAAATTGCAATAAAATCAGTAAAATTGTATGATGAAAAAGAAACAAATTTAACCAGTGTTTCTGGGAACATAGCTATTAGGTTTGTCTCTTCTACATGTGTATGGTTTCACCACAATTCTCACCAACATTTGTCTTCTTTCTTTTACCCCTCCCTTTCTTCCTTTATGATGTGCTATTTCTTATTCTTACTGTATCACTTTAAAATATCAGTTCCCCAAGGCAGAAAACATATTTCAAATTATACAGTCTCCTGTAGGCCTAAACACATAGACAGTGATGAGTTAGTTACTGATTTGAAAGAAAAAAAAAATCAACTTAGAACTGTCCAGCTAATTGCATGGGGTATTTATGACATTATTTTATTGTATATACAACATGGGCGTATTAGACTGAGATAATACTAATGTGTGCTTTCCTTAAATGCACAATCACCACATGTAGAAATGCTCTCTTCACCTCTCCGTTCAAGCCATAACTCCGATAATTAACCCTCCCAAATCAGTAATTCTATTAAGCAGTTAACTCCACCTTTCCCTGTGGTTGTGAGAGCCGTGGTAGAAGCCACACTCTCTTCTAAAGATGATTGTGTGGGTTGACTGTGGTTCTCTTTACCTCTTGATGGAAGACTGTTATTCTTCAGTTGGTTGCTTCCTGAATTGGATCTCCAAATACCTTCATTTACCAACAACAAGAATGACAAAAGGGTAATTCTATTATGTTTGAAAATTAATATTCCAAAACCCATATCTTTTTGTAATATAAATACTAATTCAAAAGAATATATGTACCCCTATGTTCACTGCAGTATTATTTACAATAGTCAAGATATGGAAGAAACCCAAATAACCATCAACAGACAAGTGGATAAAAAAGTTGTGGTATATACATACGGTGGACTATTACTTGGCCGTAAAAATAATGAAATGTTAGAGGTTATTATTCTAACTGAAATAACTCAGACAGAGGAAGACAAATACCATGTGATTTCACTTATATATGGAATCTAAAGAACAGAATAAGCAAACAAATCAAATAGAAACAGGTTCTTAGAGAGAACTCTGATGATTGTGAGAGGAGAGCGGGTAAAAAGGTCAAGGGATTAAGAAAGGGAAAGCAATACATTTTTGATTAATGATAGAGATAACACATTAACAGATAACAGAGAAGACTGTAAAGATAGATGATAAATAAATAGTTAAAATAGATAAGAGATTAAATAGATGAAAAAAGAAATAACTTCTCTGAAGGCAGTATAGTAAAAAAAAAAGAAAGAAAAATGAAGCAGTTACAGAAGAAGAAAGAATATTAAGTAGAAAACAAGAAGCAAATGGAATAAACTCAACTAGAGCCATAATAGATTTGAAATAGTAATAAATCTTCTATCTTTCTTATGTACTTTAAAAATGAGAGCTCCTTAACAATCTGCCCAATACCTGTAACATAGACTGTACTCAATAACCATTTGTATAATTAAGGAATATCATACAGACTCCCTGAAAAAAAAAAATAAAAAACTTCATTGACAAAAGGATACAGGAGGTATAAAAATCTAAGAAAATGTATTCATTCATTACAAAATATATACTTAGTACTTAGTAGGTGACTCAGGTACTTTCTGATATTATTCAACAGAGTTTAGATTAAAGATAAGGTATAAAATAGTTTTCTTAGATCATGAGACATAAAAATAGCTTATAGTTTCATTAGGGAATTTATTTTATTAAGAAGATAGCACTGCTTTGTACTTTCTTTTTCACCTCCACTGGTTTCCTTCCATTAATTTGTCCTGGTAATTCCAGTTTTGAAACCAGCTCTTCAGGAAAGGCACTAGAGCAATGGTTATTCAGACCATGAGTTGTTTTAGGCAGATGTGCCTAAATTCCTGATCATGGTCCTTCCACTAACTAGTTTACAATTTTAGAAAAGTAAACTAGCCTCCTAATCTCTCACTTCCCTTATAAATAAAATCAGAATTAACAACACCAATTCAATAGGGTTAAATACAGACTGAATTAGATTATGCTTATCAAGCTTTTAAAAGAGTGTCTGGAACATTATAAGTGCTTGTTAAATACCTGCTGTTGTTCCCTGGCTGGTGTGGCTCAGTGGATTGAGTGCTAGCCTGCAAACTGGAAGATCACCAGTCCAATTCCTGGTCAGGACCCATGCCTGGGTTGCAAGTCAGGTCCCCAGTTGTGGGCATGTGAGATGTAACTGACAGATACTTCCCTCTTTTCACATTTATGTTTATTTCTCTCTCTTTCTCCCTCCCTTCCTTTCTCTCTAAAAATAAATAAATAAAATATTTTTTAAAAAAATATCTGTTGTACTTATGGCCCCACTTCAGTTGTTTTTCCATGTCTTGGCTCATGCTTCACAACTTCCTGAATTCTATCAAACAAGCGACAGCTGGCCGCAGGGAGCCCCAGGTTTAGAACTAGCAGCCTAGATTCACAGATTGGCTTTGCCTGGAAATCTCCAAGCACAGCACAAGTAGCAGCCATCTCAGATTGCTCTATAGCTCAGGCAGGGTGGCCCCAGGCAAAACACAGGTTGGAACTGATCTTGGCCTCTACCCCCTGAGAAATCCCAGAGCCAGCCCATCCAGTAGACAGCTACAGACCACATCAGAGCAGCACCACCCTGCCCCTGCACAGATGATCCTCTAGGGAGGGCAGAGGGTGGTATTGGCCACAGCCAGTCCTTGCAGCTGACTGGCCTGGGTAAATCCCTCCCATTGATCTGCCAACGGCAATCAAGGCTCACCTACAAGAAGAGGGTATACTCAGCCCACACAAAGAGTGATAGGAGAGGTTGTACCACTGGACCCTACAAGGCACCTACTACATAAGGCCACACTATGAAGACACAGAGTCAAAGCAGTTCTACCAAATACATAAAAACAAACACAGGGAGGCTGCCAAAATGAGGAGACAAAGAAACATGGCCCAAATGAAAGAACAGATCAAAACTCCAGAAAAAGAGCTAAATGAAATGGACATAAGCATGCTATCAGATGCAGAGTTCAAACACTGTTTATAAGGATGCTCAAGGAACTTAGTGAGAACCTCAGCAGCATAAAAAAGACCTGGTCAGAAACAAAGGATACACTAATCAAAATAAGGAAAAATTTACAGGGAAACAAAAGTAGTGTGGATGAAGCCGAGAATCAAATCAATGATTTGGAACATGAGGAGGCAAAAAACAACCAATCAAAACAAGAAGAAGAAAAGAGAATCCAAAAAAATGAGGATAGTGTGAACAGCCTGTGGGACAACTTGAAAAAATCCAACATTCGCTTCATACGGATACCAGAAGGAGAAGAGAAAGAACAAGAAGTTGGAAGTCTATCTGAAAAAATAATGAAGGAAATTTCCCTAATTTGATGAAGGAAATAGACATGCAAGTCCAAGAAGCACACAAGGTCCCAAACATGATGGACACATAGAGGCCCACTCTAAGACACATCATAATGTTAAAGAGATGGGAGGAGTGTGGGAGAATGGGTGAGAAGTGAGGGTATTAAGAAGTACAAATAGGTTGTTACAGAATAACCATGGGGATGCAAAGTACAGTATAGGACAGGGAGTGCCCAAAGAACTTACATGTATGACCCATGAACATGAACAAGGGTGGGGGGATTGCCTAAGGGAGCAAGGGGTGCTGAGCACAGGGGTGCGAAGGGGGAAAAATCAGGAAACTGTTATAACATAATCAATGAAAAATAATTTTAAAAAATATCTGTTGTTGTTAATCTTCCCCAGCAATACTTACCCATTGTACCCAGGACCACAGCTATCACCAGTATTACCAAGCATAGGATTCCCAAAGTCACAGCAATGTAACGCCAAGGAAGAGATCCAGCACAAGGTCCTGAAGGAGCCAGAAAGAGCAGGGATGAATGAAGAAGTAGGACGATGGATTGTGGAGCACTTCAATGCTATAATTCATCCAAATCTGGCAAATTCTAAAGTAAGACTAATCACTGATGCCCAGATAATCTAGTTATCTAGGTTCTGAAACTGTAATTTAAGCACAGTGCCTTGATAGCTGTGCACACCCAGTTTCAGTTCCACAGTGATATCTACTGGTTTTGACACTATCAGAATTTCTTGAAATCCCACTCATTCTTAGAAAAGACAGCTTAATGTAGGGGAAATAACACTAGTTAATAAGGACAATCTTCCATTTTTTACATAGATGTTGCTTCATTTGGGGTAAATCCCTTTGTTTTTTTCATTTCTGTTTGTGAAAAATGAGGTAATAATATTTCAAAGAATTGTTGTGGGAATTAAGCAAGCTAACACGTGGAAAATCATCTAGTTTAAAGGTTACTAGAAGATTATAGGTAACTCACCATTTGTCTACACATATGCATAAAGATACACACGTGCGCATGCACACACACAAATTCCTACCTCTTGCATCTTCAAGTTTTTCCACTCTTTCCAAAAAGGTTTCCCAAGAAAAGAATTGTGTAAGTGGAGAGAGCAAAATAATTCTCCAAGGTCAATGACCAGAAAGCAGAAGAGAAAAAATTATGTCAAAACCTGTGCATAATCTCTTTCTTGATGACAGGGAACTTATTTTATGTTAACTTCACCACACCAAGAATATAGTTTGCCTGTGACTGAGAATAAGCAATAAAAGCATTTCAGAGAGTTGTCAAATAGGAGAATTATAGAGGAGACTAAATGGCTCATTCTAGGAAAAGAGAGATTTTTTAATGCTCTTCTCCATATTTCACTTCTTTTACATTTTGTTTAAGATTCATGTTTTACTAATAGGGCCTCTACATCTAACACATATATTTTTCTTCATTGATATACAAAGAGCTGCCTTTGTTTAAAAAAAAAAATCACATAAAAATTCTGATTCAGGATTCTAAATCCTGTAACTTCCCATTTCCCTTTGGCTTTTACCATAAAATCACAGGTTTGTTTTTATCTCTCACCTCCCTTTCATCTTTTCACTCTTCTTATTTTTTTTAAAGATTTTATTATTTATTTTTAGAGATAGGGGAAGAGAGCGATCAAGAAAGGGAAAGAAACATCAATATGTAAGAGAAACATTGATCTGGTTCCCCTTCATATGTGCCCCAACAAGGGACCTGGCCAGCAACCCAGGCATTTGCCCTGACTGGGAATCCAACTGGCGACCTTTGGTTTAAGGGACAATGCTCGACCAACTAAGCCACATTGTCAGGGCTCATTGTTCTCTTTCTTATTTCCAACATACTGATAATTGTTTATGTATACACTTTAAGTTTCCTTGACTTCCATTCTACAATTTACTCCTATCAAACAAACAAGTCACTCCTACTGAAATTCTTTCATTTTTGCAGTTCATCATACTTATTACCAGCTCCTCACTGCTGACCTATTTCTATAGAACAGATATTGTATTTCCTGTCATCATCATAATTAATTTAGATATTAATAAGTAGTAACTGAATGATTGTTATGAGAAAAAGCTTAGTGCACATTCAGATTTTCTTTAGTGACTTTTGAAAGCCTTTTAAAATATAGTAATAAAACTCGTGTAAATCACAAGTCTCTTAAATTTTCTCCACTTAAGTGTTTTAGTTGATGAAAATCAACTAAAATCAACTAGAGAATGAAAATGTTGAAAGCAGAAAGAAAAAATACCTTTATCTGAGGACACAGGTCTTCTGGTGATGCCGCGAGAACTGAAGTCTAACTTAGTATATCCGTCTTCATCCAAATTTTCCATCATTCTATTCTATTGAGTTTCTCAACTGGGACAGCATTTATGAGCTCTTCCCTCTCTTCTAAGATAGCTGCCTGTGGATAAAAGAGGACCTATGAGTCAAATCATGTGACATACACATAGACTGAGCTTTAACAAGTTGAGCTTAAGTAGTCCAACCAGTTGTCCAAAAACAGGAAAAGTAAAGTATGATGTAAGTTCTCATTTGTAACCTCAGATCCTGTTTCTGAGATTGATGACTCAGGAAAATTATGAAGCAACACAATAAATAGGTCTTTATTTCAGAACAAAAATTAGAAACATGAAAACAATTTCTTATGCTACTTTTATTATTCTCACAAATAAATTTGACATCATTAATTGATTTGGCCTATATAAACTATTAAACAATTTTGGTACCTTAAGTTTACCATACATTCATTTTAGTATATATTCATCCATTTGTTCATGTACTCATTTATTCACTAAACATACTGAATGCCCACCTTTTCAAATGGCAGGAGCTGGGGATATAAGGATAAATGAAGAAACTCATTATCTCATAGAAGAAACCTACAGATAGGCAGATCAAGGATGTCATAAAGAGGTACATTGTAATAACACAGAGACTAAATAAATTTCTTTGGATTTGTCAGGGATTAATAATACAAAGTAGAAATTATTTATTGAGCAATTACTATGAGCTAGGTACTACCCAGTGGAGCATGCATTCTCATTCAATCTTAATTTCCCACCAACTGTATGTGATAGGTATTTTTTCCTATTTTTAAATGAAAAAGATAAGACAGAAATGTTAGCCCCTTACTTAGTTTTAAAACGGCAATAAAAATATTGAAGTAAGGAATCAAACCAAAGTCTATTCTTGCTGCAAAACTTACGATCTTTTCTGTTTCGCTACACTGCTTCCTTCACCATTTTGTACACTTATATTGTAAGTACCATTATGAAAAATTCTGGGACTGAAATATTATGCTAAATGTTTCATTTTTTTTCTCTATTCCAATTGCCATAGTAATACTCTCCCCACCCCCAAAACACTTATCATTGCCGAAAACAGGAGAGGTACCCAACCTATTTACACAACTTTGAAGCAAGTCAAGTGAAGGAGGAATATGGATGACACTGAAGCAACAAGGACAGATTTCCTTCAGTAATACAACTACAATAGAGAAGAGGACCCAGTTTAACTGAATTCAACTTCCCCCAAACAGAGACTTTTCAAAGTCTGGAATATGCTAAAGAAAAAGCACTGAGTGGCATTAAGAGAGATTAATCCATGTGACTAGGCCATGTGGATTTGTTTTTTTGTTTGTTTGTCTGTTTCTGTTCTTTTGTTTTCATCACATTTATCCCCTCAAACCCTCTTTTACCTCCATCCACCTCCACCCCAACCCTGAAATCACCACATTGTTCTACTTGTCCATTAGTTCTCTTTATTTTTTCTTTTTTGCTCAATCCCTCTACACACACACCTTGCCCCAAGCCTGCTCTTTATCACTATTTTGTTTATTAGTTCAGTTTGTTTATTAGATTCCACATATGAGTGAAATCATATGGTACTTGTCTTTCTTTGATTGGCTTGTCCTACTTAGCATAATGTTCTCTGAAATAAAGAATTCAAGGTCTGTCTAGAAAAAGTCCAGCCATTGTTAATATAACGAGAAGGGTTCGTGTGACATCAGTGTAACCTGGCAGCCAAAGAGAGTGGACTGGAATATGCATGTGTGAATAGTGATGAGTTCACTATACTAGTCAGTGGGGTCAGTAGACGCCATTGAGTGAGGATGTCTACTATGAGGCTGTCACATTCAAAATGACTGAACAAGTAGAGCAACAAATCTGCATTAAATTTTGCATTAAGCTCTGACTGGTGTGGCTCAGTGTATTGAGTGCTGGCCTGTCATCTGAAAGATCACTGGTTTGATTCACAATCAGAGCACATGCCTAGATTGAGGGCCTGGTCTCCAGCTGGGGCATATGAGAGGCAACCAAATGTTTCTCTTACACATTGATGTCTCTCTCTCCCTCTTTCTCTCTCCTTTCCCCTCTTTCTAGAAATTAATTAAGTAAGTAAGTAAGTAAATAAATAAATAAAATTGTTTAAAAATTTTTGCATTAAGCTTTAACATTCCTCCGTGGAAATTATTTGGATGATTGAGAAGGCCACAGTTATGGGCAACTGGTGATTGGCAGCATTATCACAACAATACATTAGCTCATGCATCACATCTCATGCAGAGGTTTTTGGTGAAACATCAGATCAGCAAGGTGACTCAGCCTCCCTACAGCCCAGATTTGGCATTCTGTGACTTCTGGCTTTTCCCAAAACTAAAGTCACTTTTGAACCAGAAAAGAGATTTCATACTGTTGATGAGATTCAGGAAAATATGACAGGGCAGCGGTGATTGGGAGAACTGCGTGAAGTCCCAAGGTGACTACTTGGAAGGGGACTAAGGCATCATTGTCCTATAAGCAAAGTTTCTTGTATCTTGTATCTTCTTCAATAAATGTCTCTTTTTCATATTATATAATTGGATACCTCTGAACAGGCTTCATACACTGGAAGGAATAAACAGTAGATTAGATGAAATAGACGATCAAGTCAGCGATTTGGAAGACAAGGTAGAAAAAAATAGCCAATCAGAGCAACAAAAAGGAAAAAAATATTAAAAAATGAGGATAGTTTAAGGAACTTTTGGGACAATATGTAGTGTCACAACATCTGTATTATAGGGGTACCAGAAGGAGAAGAAAGAGAGCAAAGGATCAAGAACCTATTTGAAGAAATAATGACTGAAAATGTCCCTAACCTGGTGAAGGAAAAAGACATACAAGTCCAGGAAGTGCAGAGAGTCTCAAGATGGATTCAAAAAGGCCCACACCAGGACAAGTCACAATTAAAATGGCAAAGATTAAAGACAAAGAGAGAATCTTAAAAGCTGCAAGAGAAAGTTACCTACATGGATTTGTTAATTATGCTTATCCAGAAGAGAAACTTCTACTATGACAGGAAGCAATGGTGCCTGTTGAAGCTGCGGAGGCAGTGCTTCAGCTGAAGTCGAGCTTCACTCGAAGTTCGGACTAGGAAAGCAAGAGTTCTGTCCCTAATTTCCTGAATGTTTGCATTCAAAGTGATGTCTTTAGGGTCCTTAAAGTTTTGAGTGGTAGATTTACATCTCAAAGGGCAGAGAAAGGATTTATAATTGCAAACTTTCTCAAATAAGTGCTCTAAGAGGGGCCTTTCTGTCTATCACTAAGTTTTGACTGAAATAAACAATAAAGTCTCCTGGAAGAATTGAGTTAACTGAGCTAACTCAAGCAAGCATTGAGCTTTCTTTGGCAGGCATTTTTAGTGTTACCAATGTTGGGGTTCTTGGATTCCCCAAGATAGAAATTGGGGGGAAACCCCAGAAGAATTTTCAGACAGATTTTATTAAGCTTAGGCCAAACACAAGGGAGGCCCCACAGAGAAAAAGAATGTCCTCTGAACTGGCTTGAGGGCTGGCCACTTTTATAAGCTGGGGACAAAGCAGCCTTGGGCAGAATGGAGAACTTTTGGAAAAGACAAACTTGTGAGGGATTAGGGAATGAAACTTTCCATATCAGGGGTATCCTTCTGTGGGGTAGCTTGGCAACTATCTTTGCACCTGCACTGTGGGGACAAGATGGTGGTGCTGCTCATTACCCTCACATCAGACAGGCTGTGTAGCCATTGCACTTTGATTAAGTGTGCATGTGGGTCAGTAGGTTAAGCAAGCAGGTAGAAGGAAGATAAAATCAGTTACCTCTGCATTTTTGAGTAGGGAGTGGAAGAGTGGTGACAGTTTTACCATCAGTTTATCCCATTTTTTTTTTCTGAAGTCTTAACTTGGTTTCCTGGTCATCTTGTATTTTCCATCCTGGGCCCAACTCCCTCTGCTGTCACTGTAGGGGCATGGCCTTAGACTGCTAGGTGCCATGCTAGAGTTTGTCGACAAGTCTCTTAGCACAGAGGTTCGGATGCAGCTGTTAAATGCCAAAAGTTCTGCAATTCTCGCTAACATATATCAAAATGAAAGAGAGTACAATGAAGAGTATGTGAGCTTCTTCCCTTAACCTAGCCAGCCAGAAAAGTTTTACTAACTTTAATTCAGGCATTATAGTGCTATTGGCTATTGGCTAACACTGAGTTCAGTGTTAATGAATCAACAATATTATTAATGAAGGTGTCTTTAAACAGCAACATATGTAAAACAAGTTTTTATATTAATGTTGACAAAAATGTGACCAGATGCTCCTAGGAACTTAACTTTGTATTTTCCCCAGAAGCAGTAGTTATTTAGTGTTTTCTGTGACTTTATAGAACTTAATTACCATGAGTAACAAAAATTGACTGTGGAGATAAACAGGTAGTTTTAAAACTTAATAGTAACCACAATAATTATTAAATCTTTGGCCAACAAAAGATCTTTTCAGGGAATATTTTATCATTGACATTGTTTAGCATCACTGACACATGGTGACAATAAAAGGCAGACTAATGTTTTGTACATTTTAATATTTTTTTAATTCGTTACAGACACCACAATCATTTTTATTGTCTGCTGAATACTCGTTAGGATATCTTCTCTTCCCTACAAGGATCCAAATAATTTAATGCCTGACTATCTTTCTAACTTCATTTTCTAACCATATTGCCTTTACTATCTTGAAACACTGGCCCTTATTTTTTATCACAGGAATACACCAAATTGTTCTTGTCTCAGGGACTTTGGACTTACACTTGGCTTGAAACACTTTGCCTTGAGAAGTTTGCATGATAGAATTTTTCTTGATAATCAGTTTTCAGTTCAAATATCACCCTCTCTGAAAAGTCTTCCCTGATTACTCAGTCTGAATCAGAATACAATCAAAGTGCCTGCCCATCAGTTTGAATCATATAATCATTTTTCTTTTTTTTTTTTTTCAAAGCACTTTGCAATATTTGAATATATCTAATATGTTTAGGAATAGACTCACCTGTCCACATGATTGTAAGCTCCATGAATTTAATCTTGCTTGTCTCGGTCACTGATAGTTTCCAAAAACCTAGACTAACTTCTTTCTGATTGGAGTTTATCAATAAATATATGCTGGGTTGATGTATAAAAA